AACAAAAAAAAAAAAAAAAAAAAAAAATGTGCAAAGAACAAAACCAACCTTAGCTTGGCATGGAAGCCCCCGAGGGTCCTGCTTAAAGCTTGCCCACTACACGTGTTCCTGTGAGGCACCCTTTCGTGCTCAGCAGTTCACCAGGGCACTGCACTGCTCCTGGATCTGCCAGGCTCATCGACACCATGTCATAATTTAAAAGAACATTTGCATTTTTCTAAACCTGACAACAGTGGCCAAGTGTTCTTCACTCCCTCTCCTTGGTCCCCCTCCAGAAGCTGCCCAAACCTGACTTGGTCTCACCGAGAGCCACCTTGCAGTCTCTCCTGGACCCGCGGTCATTGTCAGAGGTCCTTTCACCTACACTGGTGCCAGATGAGTCTGCCGATCCCGGCGAACAAAGCACACATGTCCTCCAGGGAGGGGCAGGCTGCCACTCCCCCACCCCCTGTGCTACACTGCTCTGGTCTCTGGTTCAGAACCTGGGCTCACGGCCCATGGGGCAGAGGCCCCCCAGGGTTGGGAGTTCTGTGAGGCTGTGTCATGCATAACAGCAGCCTGGAAATGGCTGGCTGTGTCTGGTTGCCTCTCATCAGAGGCAAATAAATGGATCTGGTGCCTGCACTGGAGATGGAGAGGGCGATGCGGAGGGGTCTGTGGCAGGGACAGTGGGGGGAGCAGACACTCTGCTTTTAGAGGAGGGCAGTGGGGCACAGGGGCTGTGATGCTGCATCTGTTTGGGGCAGAGGACTCCCATCTGAAGGCGAGGGCACAGGTCTGTGCGTGCGTGCGTGTGAATGTGTGTGTGTGTGTGTGTGTGTGTGTGTGTGAGGTGTGTGAGTGTGTGTATGCTGGGGGGGAATGCAAGCCACCGGAAGTGTCCAGGGTCTAGTCCCCTTTCTTTCCCTGAACAGGTGGAAGGAGGTACACAGGAGGTCAGCCATCCCCAGCTCAAGCCCCGCTATAGAGCTAGCTGTGTGTCCTTGGCAAATCCCCAAGTGTTTCTGTGCCATGGTTCCCTGATACTTAAAAAAAAAAAAAAGATGAAGAAAAAAGGATCATAATCTCCCGTGCACAGGGCTATTGAGATCTCAACGAGAAAATCGCTCAGATAAATTATCCCTCACAGCAGCCAGCACAGAGAGCCCCGCAAAACCGGTAGCGCCCGCATCTCAGTCATCCCGCGCGCGAGTGCACCCCCTCCAGGCAGAGGCCGCCCCTCCTTTTCAGAGCTGAGACCAAACAAAGGAAAACAAAAAGTGCAGGGAAATAAAGCCGACCCTCTGCGCCCCTGGGATGCCCCTTGCCCTGGTACACGTGTGCCTTTTCTCTCGCATCTGGGGTCCAGGGCAGGGGCTGCCCCTGCCACTTTTAACTGGGTTCTCCTGAAAAGTCTGGTGAGAGTTTATTTTCATGTATATATATAAAGTCAGGCTGCTCTCAGGCAGGCTTTTAGGCTCGTATTTTATAGGTTGTGGCAAGGGCAACTGTGAAGGAACAGCTTTGCGGTCTCCGGGGTCACAGCTCCTGGAGACCCGCCTGGCTCCACCTGAGCTCGCCTCAGGGGCACAGAAGCTCCGGGCCGGGCTCGAGGCGGGCTTGTTCAGGCAGGCAGCGCTCCAAGCTTCCTCCCTCCTGGGTGTTTGGTTCTGGACTTTGGATCGTGAGCCTGGCCCGCACAAGTCCCACCGGGGTGCCTCTCTGCGGGTCTCTGCAGCAGCACCCGTGCTGAACCCCATTTCCCATAGCCCAGGCAGCAGTGTCCCCTCCCTGCCCAGCAGGGGCCACAGGGTTTCTTACCCTGTGGCCTCTGTTCTTGTCCTGGGATTTGGGGACAAGACCTTTCAGACTCTCACTAGCACTCCTCAGCGCCCGTCCCATCCGTTGCCTGCCTTCCCGCTCTCCTGCGCCCCCTCCCCAGGCAGTTCCCCGGGACGCCAGCGCCCCTGTAAACCTTGCGCGCGCTGTCCCGGGCCCAGGAGCCACTGCCCAGCTCGTGCTACGCGGTGCTGCCCCCGCTCGGTGGGCCGGAGTCACCGCGGCTGACTGATGGCTGTCAGCAGCAGGACAATTAGGTGGCAGCGCCCAGGGCTCTTTTCCTCCATGACTATGCCCTGCTCTAAATCCTTTTGCCCCATGGGGGTGCATTCTTGCCCCTGAAGAGCTGTCCCGGGCCCAGGAGCCACTGCCCAGCTCGTGCTACGCGGTGCTGCCCCCGCTCGGTGGGCCGGAGTCACCGCGGCTGACTGATGGCTGTCAGCAGCAGGACAATTAGGTGGCAGCGCCCAGGGCTCTTTTCCTCCATGACTATGCCCTGCTCTAAATCCTTTTGCCCCATGGGGGTGCATTCTTGCCCCTGAAGATTAGCCGGACCATTCATAGACAGCCGGCCTCACAGCTGTCCCATGCACATTTACGTGCACACGTGTACACACACTCACATGCTGAGTGCCTGCATGGGGAACAAAGACCAGAAACTCCTTTAGAAGCTGCACAACACAGGCTTGTCTAGCAGAGGTTCTCAGAGAGTGGCCCTGTCCACCTGTAGCCCCTGGGAACCCGACCCCATAAATGGTCCATGAAAGGCACCTCTCCAGGCAGGCTGGTGCTGAGTTCATGCACATTGGCACGCTCAGCCCCACTGCCTGGAGAGGGGGCTTTCCCAGGTCCACACCTGTGGCTGTGCCCCTGCTTTTCCATGTCTGGCCAGCACCTCAACCTGCCAGCCTCTTCTCTGCTCCCCACACCTGCTTTGCCAACCTGTTGTCCCACCATTTCTGGGCTAGGAAGTGCGACGGACATTCAACCACTCCAGGTGGCTGGCCCTTAGCAGGGGAGGTGGCTGGGCGGCAGCCCTACTTCTCCACCCGAGCAGAAACCTCCATTTCTGTGCTCTCCCTCACTGTTGGCACAGGGCACTGCCCGTCATCCCTGTACCTCGGCTACTGAACCTGGTGCAGAGTGCACGGCAAAGGTCAGAGTCCTGGCTGGCTCCCCCTCCCCAAGCCCCACACCAAGCCCTGCCGTCTTTCACATTGGCCTCTGTGGCTCCACAGCAGCCCCTTGCCCCTCTGCCCTCAGATCTGTGCAGGCAGCAATCTTACAATCTTCTGTCCCCTGGTGCTGCACTGACTAGCAGAAGCCCCAGAGTGAGGGAAGAAGCTTCAGACCTCTTCGCCTGTTCGGGACACCTCTCCCTGGGTTGACCTGGGACAGAGCCCCTTGCCCTGTTGTTCCGACAGGAGCCTGGGGAGAGAGCACAGCGCTCACCTCCTGAGCTACTCTGTATCTTATCTGTTGAGCAGCTCTGAGCCCTCCTGGGCTTTTTACAGCCCCTTCTCCAGTTGCCAGGGAGAGAGCTCTTCACGCAAAGCCTCCTGCCTTTTCCATGGGAGCCGCTCCTGCCTGGCCTTGGGCAGTGCACCACCGCAACATCATGGGACTGGGGCCTCCTGAGCCAGACAGACCTGCTTGATCCCCACTCAGGTAGCTGCAAGACCACAGCAGATTTTCCCTTTATTTTGCAGTCTTGGGTATTTTCCCCTGTGAAATGGAGATGAGAGTTTGTCTCTCACCAGCTTGAAGTGAGGGCGCAGTGAGATAAGAGCAGCTCTGCACACATCACACACTTCGTCAATGCTCGTGGAGTCGACGGTAGGGTCAGGGGAGGGAGGGACGAGTGTAACAAGTGTCATCAAAGAAAGCAGTCTGGCCTTCCAAGACCCTGCACTGAGCACGCAAACAGAGCCTCTCCTGGCAGAGGCCCCTCTGCCGCCTTGATCACGCAAATCAAGTCAGCCGGAGGCAGCCCCTGGCCTGTGGAACTCACAGTAGATGCAGCAGGTGGCAGAAATGACACACAGAGCCCACAGCTGCATTTAATAGACCAACAATTTGCACTGTATATCATAGCACCCGAGGTAGTGCACAAAGGCAAAAAGGAACCTTTTTCCCCCTGCCACTTCCTTGAAGGGCCAGCTTGGGGAGGGGTCCAGGCATTCCCTAGACTGGGGACCAGCCACCCTCCATGCATTCATACTTCAGACACCACAGGGCACCTACCTTCCCCGAGCTTGGACCCGAGAGTGGAGCTGGGGGCAGAGTTGATACCGGTCGGACCCGAGAGCGGAGCCGGAATGAGTTGTTGCCGGTCTGACCCGAGAGCGGAGCTAGGGATGAGGAGGTGCCAGTTGGCTTCCTGTCCCTAAAGCTCTGTGGGTCTGTTGGGTCTGCTGGGGAAAGATATAGGGGACGAGTCACTCCAGATCAAAGGGATCAGGGTGGTGATAGCAGTTAAGTTCCAGAAGCCCTAAACTGGGCTTTCTGCCTAGAACCCGATAAGCCAGAGCTCTGGTCTCAGAATCCCCATTTGATTGATGAAGGAACTGAGGCACAGAAAGGGGAAACCCCATACTTACTGTTTCAGCTGGTGCGAGGCCAGACGGTATGGAACCCAGGCTCTCTGAGCTCCCTACCACACCCTGCAGCTGAAGACTGCTCAGTGAGGCTGTGCAGAGTGCTGGGGGTGTGGGTGGGCAGGGGCTGGATTGATTACTTATAAGCACCTCCCAGCAGTGCTTGAGATCCCAGCTCCTCTGTGGCCCAATCCGTTTGAAGGGCAGATTCAAAATTAGGTGTTAGCACCTATGGGCAGAGGCTTATGAAAATGGCATTATTAACCTGACGTGGAGAGGGCTCTGCCTGTCTGCAAGCAGATTGTAGGTAGAGACAGAGGGGGGCTGGGGTTTGTTTATGTGGACAGTGAGTTGGAGAGTGTGGAGAACATCCGGGGGCCCTCGGGGAGCCCAGTGGAAAGAGCCAGCTTTGGAGGGGCTAAGTCTGGATGCCTGGCAGAGGGCACCTCTTCGAGGCAGCCCCTGGACTAAGGGAAGTGCCTCCATCTCCGTCCCACCAGTGGGCAGAGGGTCCCCAGCCCTTCCTCTGACCTATACAGGGGCCACGAGCCTCTCTCACCTTAGAATCCCACCTGTGAGCTAGAGATGGAAACCAAACGTCATCACTGGCAGAGACCCTGTTCCCACAGTGTCCCCTGGCCACTGCTGCAGATGCCAGACACCTGTCTGCTTGTTAAAGCAGTATTCAACAGGAGAGTTGCCTTCTGCCCGAATCCCTTCCCCTTCCCTTCCAGCGGGGAGGATGGAGAAGTGTGGACGGGGATGGAGGGGACAGGTGTCCCCCACTCAGAAGCGGCAGAGTGGAGCTCCGAATCCGACAGGACTTGGGCCACTGAAGATTTGTGCCAACTCACGGTGCGGTGGAATCAGTCTGAATTCTTCAGACACCAGACACCAGCCAAGAGTCTGTGGCGCCCCCAAGTGCCACAAGGGGGCTGCCTGGGCCACATTTTTGAGTCCAGTAGGAAAGTGAGGAGGGGGAGACGTCAAGAGGGACCGGAGCGTTTGCTTTGGCAGTGGCGCGTTCAGTTGCGGCGGCAGAGGCGGGTGGGCAGGCAGGTGGGGCGGCTGTGTCCTGGGCAGGGGGCGCCCTGGAGGGCGACCGGAGTCGCTGGCTGTGGAGTAGTTCAGCAGCTGCCCGGGAGGGTCGGAGGGTCGGAGCGGTCCGGCGCGGCGGTGCTCCCCAAGACAGGAGGGGAACTGAGCGAAGCAGCGCTCTCAGGCGGTGCTCGGGGGCTGCACGCAAAGAAAGCGGAAGCACAGGGGCCGGGACTCCTCTTGCTGCAGAAGCCGTAGAAAAGTGGGGCCAAGGAAGGCACGGCTGTGGGCACACGGGGTCCGAGAGTGGACCCGGGCAGGTCATTGAGCTGCACTGTGATTGACAGCACAGAGAAGGGCTGAGAAGGCGGGAGCGGCTTGACCCACAGTTTTAGGGAAATAAACACTAATTCTTGTACTTCCAAAAAAGGCTAAACAAACAAACAAAATCCACACAAAACCAAAAGCAAAAGCGAAGAGGCATTTGAAAGCTAAACAGCAAAGCTTCCCAGCATGGCTGTACCCACCACTCTAGGGTCTTCCTTTGAAGCGGGTGACAGCGTTGTCCCGGCAACCAAACTGACGCTAGCATCACAGGGAAGGATGCATCAGGTGGCCGGCTGTGCTGTGAAGGCGGAGATGCCCACAGATGCCCTCTGAGAGCCAGGGAAGGGTCTGAGGGGTGCTTTTTGGCAGGACGACCAGCAGAGACCTGGATTTGGGGACAGGAGGGCTGGAGATGGCTGGTGGGTGTTGGTTCACTCCACTTTGAGTGTTCAGCTCCTCTGGCAGCTGTGATACCCCCCAACATTGACCTTGGCCCCTGCACCCCTTTGTTTTCAAATCCCCCCTCTGCCCCACCTGCTCAGCTCCTACACTTTTAAACTTAGAGATTTAAACGAACCTTTTAATATGGGAAGTGGAAGTAACACAGTCATAGATGAAATAATGCAGTTTTCAAAAATCACAGTTTTAAAGGTTTTCCCACCATTACCCCAACAGGATTGCCATTGAATCCTGGTCCCTGAAAACATCAAACTGTAGCCCTTTCTCCAGCCCCACTGCAGGACTGTTTGGAAGCAATTTCCAGACACTGTATTGGGTCCCCAGAACATTTTTAGAGTCCATTTCTCTAAAAAGGAGGGGACTCTTCTTTCACTGAAAAAAATATAAGCACATTTTTTTTGTGATTATTGTGATGCCATTATCACAATTAAAAAATTAGCAGCATTTCCTTAATATCATCCAACCTCTTCAGCATTCAAATATCCCTGCTGGAATCATACTGCTTTTGTAATTGGCTGGAGAACATCTGCACCTTCAAAGGCTCATGGGGGTCTAGAAGGTGAGTGTGTTCAGGGCTTTGAATATCTGCCCAGTCCTCAGATCGGACATACAACCTTAGGCAAGTTCTGGGTGTCTCTGCGGGGGCTCCTGCAGGTTGGAGAGGATACCTGTGAAGTCCCCAGCCCCGGTCTCACACAGGACACACTCTCAGCACACAGTTGCTTGCTAGAATTCTCCCCAGAAATCTCCAAAGCAGAGTTGGGCTGGGGTAAAAACAGCTGGCCATCGTCCACTATACAAAGGCTCCTAACAGTCCAGGGCCCCTAAGTCGGGGCTGGGTCTGGTTGGATTTCACAGCTTCCAACTCAGCTGCCCCGTGGCAGACTCTGGTGACCAGGAGCCCACAGGGGAGCCCCGCAGGGTGCCAGTGCAATGGGTGGTACTCTGCTGTGAGTCCAGGGCCCACCACTACCCCATGCTGTTCTGGCCACAGGGGCGGGGGAAGAATGCACACCATATTACAACATCACAGACTGTTTCTGAGAAGCTTTTCTCAACACAGTGGGTAAGATGCAGTGGTTTTCTTCCTGCATAAATCCTAGCCTGATAACAGAGGCAAAGGAAATGAGCGTTTAATGACTGAGGCCAGGCACTGGGATGTACATGCTCTCTTTGATCTACAGCCCAGTTACATCTGCTGTCTCTTTACTTTACAGACGAGAGGGCCTCAGGAGGTCAGTGACTCACCCACAATGGGCCAGAAAGAAGGACCTCAAGTTCCAGCTTAGGTTTGTCTGATTCCTTTGTAAAATCAAGAAGTGGAAAGATCGAGGGTAGGTGTGGGGGCTGCATCAAGATCCATCAGGATCTGAGGGGTGGCTGGCCTGCTGACAGATGCGGGTAAGATGGGTGCTGAAAGTGCACATGGGGGACTGGAGATGGGTTCAGCTTACTCTTCCCAGAGAGGTGGCCTTTCCTGACTGGGCACACTGACAGTCTCAGGTGGCTCTGTGCAGGGACCAAGCCCAGCTGTGGGGCTGGAGCATGTCAGTGGCAGCTCTTGTTCTCCACTGCTTGCGCACAGCACTGGCACTCCTGGATGACTGCACCCTGAACCTGTCCATATGCCCAGCCCTTCTCTAGCATGTGGTGTTATTTTAACCCCTCTAAGTCACACAGTACCTCTTTGGTCACAATGGCTGTCGTCAATGGAGAGACAAGGAAACTAGGACTTAGGAATGGGCAAGGACTTGCCAAAGCCGTATAGGAAGCAAATGCAGACCCAAGATTTGAAAGGTCTTCTTCCTTTCAAATCCACACCCTTGATCTATATCCTATTTTCTCTCTTTGAGACAGGACTTCACAGTGTAGCACAAGCTGGCTTTTAACCCTCTGAGTCTAACCTCACAGGTGCTGGGATTACAGGCATCTGCCACCATTTGCTGGCCCCTGTTTTCTGTAGCTGTGCTTGAAAACACTTTGCACTCCTTGGGGGTCACCCATTTTCACCCTCATGAGCTGAACAGTTCATCCCAGCAACTCCTAGTTTATTCCTCATGTAACATCTTCTTTAGTTTGCCACCATCACGCCAAAGTGGTCACACATGTCATTGGCATTTCACAGTGTAATTAGCGCACGCAAATTAGATTGCTGGCATTTAGTATTCTGCAATGCGAGCAGAGGCACATGTGGATGACACTGCAGAGCCCGGAGGGCGTGGGGCAGGGAGGGAGGGGGTCCAACACAAGCAAGCCCGAAAGTCTCCTCCACAACTGCCGACGTTTAGCAGGTACACTTTCAGAACCTAAAGGCTAAACTCTGTTGCACACATCCCGAACGCAGAGGTTTCAATTCCAGCTCTGCCATTTACTGGTTTTTGAGTTTGGTCAAAGCACTTCACCTCTGTGCCTCAGTTTCTTCATTGTAATATGGCAATCCCAGTAGTATCATCGAGTCAAACATATAAAATGAGTCCTATGGTGTGGACACCCAATAAATTTTTTTAATAATTAAAGTTATAATTGTTAAAACTATTCCCATGAAAATGCCATTGAACACTTTTGGTAAAAAGCATTATCTGTATTTTATAAACCTGAACAGGTATTCAGACAGGGATGAGGTTTGGCTTTGGGTAGTGAGTTGGTGAAAGAGAAACAGAAACACAAGTTTAAGACCAGAAGACTTGACTTCTAGTAGTGGGCTGGCGCATCTAAGGGGAGACCATGCCCTGTGCAGGGCCACCTTGATTCTTTGAAGTGAAATTCCTGAGGTCAGAGAAGTGGTGGCCAAGCATCTCAGTTCTCTCTCCCATATTCTCTCACAGACTGCTGGCCCGTAGGCAGACTGTCACTTTAACAGGGTTTCGTGGACTGCTCCTTTGAGGGTGGCTGTGCGCCAGGTGGAGCATGAGAACAGGTGGCCTCCTCCTGTTGCTGGGGCAGGACCCTTGCACAGGGTGCCTCTGAGGCCCATGGCTGCCTTTGGCCGGGTCCGGGATTAGTAGTGGATCCCTACAGCCTGGTGCAGGAGAGGGGTTTGCATGGCCACTGACTGTCTGGCTTGTCTTAGATTTGAGCCGATCTCTGGCATCGCCTGGCTCCAAAGTCTGGCGAGCCCTGCAGGCGCTGAGAGCATTGCAGCTCTTCCCAGAGGCACAGGTGACATGGCTATGCGGGATCCTTGGTGCCTCCTGCAACCCTCTGCTCCCGGGCTGCCCACGGAAAGTCACGCCAGCCTCCCCACCCCAACAGACGCGCAGCACACGCTTACACGTCCCACGCTCATGCACCGCACACTTCAGACCGCAGGACTAAGTAGGAAAAACAGTGCACCTGCTCCCTGCCCAGGACCACACTGTCCTAGCCGCATGGCTGAGCCCCTGGAAGTCACCGCTGCTGACACGCAGTTTCCCCACGCGCAAAGTGAGACTTACGGAGTCTGCTTCGCTCGCACCGGCTCTGGGTCTCGCTGCCTCCAGCCTCCTACTGCCTTTGTTTATTTTGCACGTTCTCTGCTCCTTTCTCCGTCCACAGGGAGGTTCCTTCTCCCGCAATTTTGTCAGCTTTGTTCACTCCTATGTGACTAGTCCCAATCCCAGTGCCTGGGACCAGACTAAGTGAGCTAAAAACTTTTTAGGGGAGGAAAGTGAGAAGCTGAGGAGCGTCCGCACGCCCGAGCAATGCCACCTTGCACGGAGCAGGCAGCCTGTGCTTGGTTCAGAGTACGCATTCAATAAATATTGGCTAATTATGATTATTATGTCTAATTCACAGGACTGTTGTGAGGATCAAACAAGATAATGTATGCTAACGCATGCTGTGAACACTCCGTGCTGGGTACAGGAGGTACAATGTTAATGCTCCCTGTCGCGGGGAGGGGGCTTGCCCCTAACTGTGCGCTGGGAGAGGGAGGGCAGGGCTCGGGGAAGGACTCCCCGCCGGGCCCTTGGGGAAGGGCTGGCTCCCAATGCCTGTGATCTTTAGGGACTCCTTGGTGGAGGTCTGGAATGGCTGTATTTGTATGGATATGACATTCTAACGCACACCTAATCTCCAGAGTTGTTTTCACCTTTCTGAGTACCTCTGAGGCCAGTGTGCTGGGCACCTGCCGGGACCCTTCCAGGAGGGTGGAAGGAAACTGCACTGCCAGCAGAAGCCTCTGTTGGCTTCCAGGGAGCAGTGGGGCTCTCAAGAATCCACAGGTGCAGACTCCCCTGAGACAGCCCCCCTTTCATACTAGGAAGTTTGGTTTTCTGAAGTGCACCCCTTGGTTGGATTTCTGTTTTACAGGGCACTTATTTAAGCTTTGATGTCTTTATTCAAGAAAAGAACAGACCCCAACAGTTTCCTGCCCAAGGCCCACACTGCCCAAAATGCATGCCCAAGCATGGAGGTGCTTCTCTCGCCTGGTCAGGGATGTGTGGCCAGTGGGGTGGGTGGGGAAGTGAACGGGGTGCTGGGAGGCCTGGGCATGTGAAGGGGGCCTGGAGAATGGGCCCCGCAGTCCATTGTCAGTCGTTGTCCTTCACCGGCACGATGGAGGGTGTTGCTGTCCTCGTTCTGCAGTCGCACAAGTTGGGCACAAGATAGAGAGGCCAGGTCACGTCTCTGCAGTTACACAGCTCATGAGTGCCTGCTGGGGTGGAACCTGGTCTGTCTGTCTGTCTAGCACCACAGCTCGGGCACTGCTGCAGAGGGGCCCAGACATGGCGTGAAAAAAATGGCTGCCTGCTTGGGGACAAGTCACGTGACCGCCACAGAGGGGGAGTGGGCAGGGAGGGTGGTTAGTTACCGGTGTCACCCAGCTAGTTCGAGTCCCAGGGTGGACTGGGTGGGTGACACTGCAGTAGCAGCGTCTGTGCTCTGACTAGGGGCCACACTACTTTATTGGTGGTGGTGGCATGGAGTTCCCTGGCCTGGCTTGGAGTCCTTTTCGGAAATTGGGGTGGGGAAGCTTTGAAGTCAAGCTTGTTCCAGTTTGACTTTTCTGGCTTTCAGCTGTGCCAGTCCTGCATAAGCCTGGAAAGCCACAGACCCACGGAAAAGATTCGTTTTTGCTTTTGAGACAGGGTCTCGCTATGTAGTTCAGGCTGGCCTAGAACTCATTATGTAGTCCAGGCTGGCCTGGAACTTGTGGTGATCCTCCTGCCTCAGCCTCCTGAGTGCTGGATGACAGGCGTGCCCCACCACGCCCAGCGACTACACACCTGTATCAAAATTTAAAAGAGGGAGGGGAGGGTGTCCGGGAGACTTGGGAGTGATTGCTAAAGAGTCAGGGAAGGAGAGGGCTAAGAGGGGGACCCTGGAGGTGTGTAAATTAAGGGCAAGGAAGGGTATAGGAGAAGCCAAGGATTGGGATTAATTCCCCACCACCGAGGGACATAAAGAAAGAGCTCAGAGTGGTGTGTGGCTGTTAATTTTATTATTAAAAATAATAAAGGAATAAGAAATAATGTAATCAAGTCCTTGAATAGAACAGTTGAGAATCTGCTGGGTAAAGACTCGTGACTAATTCCAGTCTGCTAACCCGATATTAATGAACAAAAATGATCCAGCAGGCAACTCTTTTCCTTTCAGCATGGCTTTGTGTCTCTCGAAAGGACCCTCTGGGGATCCTCTGCCAGAGAGGAGGCTGTGACAAGTGAAAGCCAGGCTTAATGATGTCCCTCAAGTGGGTAAAAATGATGGCAGAAGTAAAATTAAAGAGTG